CGAGGTCGACGAATGTGTGCTGGTTATCTTGTTTTGCTGAACGCGGGAACACCTGTTTGCGTCTAAACTTCTTTTCGTATCCAGCTGTTAATTTTCCCAGTATAAGCTGTACTAAATCTCTTGCCTCTGTTGGTTCATCTGGTTTTTCTTAAGAAATTTGTTTGATATACATTGTGGGTTGGTCTCCTGATAGACCGGGTCTTGACATGTTAAGTTTTTTAGGTGAAAGGTCGTGTAATTAGGCCTTTTCATTGCTAACAAGTACAATATCATTGCGGGAGCTTGTTTCTAGTTCAGTGGAAAAACAAAATACCACGAATGTTGTGTGCTTCCTTTCCTTTCCTCACTGATGTGGAAGTTTGTAAACTTTGTTATTGACCAGAAGGGCCATGGTATTCCTGACTCCCTCATTAAAAAGGTTAGAACCTTGACGCACGAATTTTTCGAACTACCTTGTGAAGAGAAGTTGAAGATCAAGATGACTCCAGCAGCAGGATACAGGTTATACTCTCCTAGCATTCTTGGAGTGTCTACTTGACAATTGCCAATTTAAGATCGATCACTAACTGTGTCCTCTTCTCTTAAATTTGATATGCAGTTAATGCACATAAATTAATAATGAGTTTTACTTTATTGTAGAACATGGGACAGAAGCATCGAATAGAATCGCAAGCTGTGTTCTCTTCTCTTAAATTTTCCATGCAGCAAAATGTACCGAACTGTTAGTAATTTTTAGCTTATTGTAGAACATGAACAGCAGGATTAAATTAAAAAGAAAACACTGATTCAAATAAATCAGAAAGAATATCATGTCCTATAGTGAAGCTTTAGAGAAATAAGCTCCCCAGATGTTTGCCTCCCACATGTGAGTGGTGAGGAATACACAGCTTACTTAATTAGAGAAACAAAATAAGCTTCCGAAAAGGGTGCTTCGAGGAATTTAACGACCTGCCGATTGTCATTCCCAGATGATATTGCTCTCTGATGGTAAAGTAGCGTGGGCTATACAGAAAAAAAATGGTCATGCAAAACCTCCCTTCAGGAACATGATCTGATTCTGGTCAATAAACCTCCCTTTACCTGTATTTCTAGGATTTTTCCACTATTTCATTCCTAGGAAAATTATAATCTTGTAATATTGCAAGTTTATATTGGTTTCCAGGTGAATTACTAATTAGCTTAAAAGTGACCTTAACATTTTTTGCAGGGGATACCAGAGAGTTGGTGAAAACATCACAAAAGGTGTACCTGACATGCATGAGGCCATTGACGTAGGTTTGCTTGTTGTTTGGATATACTTGCCTTAAGTATGAGATTAATAAATCATGTTGATCGAATGGTAGCAGTTCATGGTATTATATAACTTGTCCCTGTATGGTAGGGGTCACAAATCATTATAAGCATTCGTGTTTTCCGAGATGCCCTTTTTTTTTTTTATAATTTGCCAAGCCCCATTGAAGTGGAGTGAAATTGTGATTAGCACTGTTCTATCTGTGGAAGTTTTAGGCAATCATTAATTCAAGCGAACAGAGTTTCTCTGCATGCAACTCGTACAAATTATGTCAATGTTATTCCACTACGTTTTGTGCAGTTACATAGTCCTTTAGGCGGGGGTCTACATCCCAGCCTGCACAAGTATTAGCATGATGATACTGAGATGTTATCATAGTATTCTGCTGCTGTCTCCCGCGTTATTATCTCCCTCTCACTGCAATGACTTATAATGTGATGTATTTGGAGCAGTGTTACAGAGAAGTGAGACAAGGGATGTATGGAGATCTTGGCAAGGTCATGGAAGGATGTAATCAGTGGTACGCTCAAGAACTCTAACCTAATATACACGTCTGCGTCTCTTGTTTTCTAGCCCCTTTAGCCGTGCCACCGGACATTCGTTCTAGTGGCCTTGTTGGGGAGGGATCAGGGGCGCGATCAGGGTTGTACCCTGATGAGAGCACCATTCCTTTTAACCGTTCTTCATCAGCAGCAAGTGTTAATTATAAGAAACTTTAGTACTCGTCATGCTTGAGTTCCTTAGCTCCGAGTAGTTCATTACGTCAATGTCATCGATCTGAACTGAGCAAATGGACAGTGGCAATTGGACAGTGGCATTATGTATAAACTTATAGGTCCTATGTTGATTTTTCACTTTGCCGTTCCATGTTCACTTACTCCAAGAGTAGGTATTATAATGATTGTTTGATGAAACACACATGAGTAGTAAATATATTGGAATTTCATTGTTTTAGCAAACTAAACGTGAGAGGGAGTCCTAAGATGAAAATTATAAATATTATTTTTTCCATAAGCTCAGCATTTTCATTTAATTAATTGCATATTTCTTAACACTGCTAACATCAGGTATGTGATTGCTTGTTTTGGATTGAGTTGCATGTTGCTGATTTATTCTGGATTGTGTTCACCCATTTTGCTTTTGTCCCCAATGCAGGCCAGTTAATCCTCCAGATCTAAAGCCAATCATGGAGGAATACATTAGCCTTTGCACTGGTATCGACTGTTCATTGGTGGTTCTCTGTCAATACTTTTGGCAGTTCTCTGTCAATACTTTTCTTATCCATCATCTTTGTACTCGTTATTCTGATTTTTCCTAGAACTTTCAAGAAAGATCATGAGAGGTATTGCGTTAGCGTTAGGTGGATCCCCAAGTGAATTTGAAGGTCAAAGAGCTGGAGATCCATTTTGGGTATTGCGTATAATTGGTTATCCAGGTGCATCAAAATCAAATGGCCTTGGAAGTCCTGAAAATGACATTGGATGGTGATATATTTGTCCTCTCATAGCAAGTTAATTTATTGTCAATGCTTGTACTCTACATTTCTTCATTACTGTAGTCTTTTGATTCCTCATGCAGTTTTTTCTTTCTTTTCTTCCTTTGCATGAAACATTCAGTGGAGCGCACACTGATTATGGTAATTTTCTGAGTCCTTAGAGTTTTGATACTTGAAAGGACAATGAGTTTATATTTTGCTCATGATGCCACATTATAGGTTTGTTGACTCTGGTGAACCAGGATGATGACATCACTGCTCTTCAGGTACAATCGTAATTTTTTTTTGATGTTTTAGTTTGATATTTTAAATGAGTTCTTAATCATAAAAGTGTAAGGACGGAACAAGTGAGACTGAGTTAAGTATTAAATTGACTCAAATTCTTCTGCTAATTCCTTAGAGAAGTCCGTTCATGGAATTTTGAGATGACATGTATGAGTACGTTTCCCGGTTCAGGCTGTTGGTCATTCCAAATGGTAGTGTATGTTTGGTGTGGCTTTCTTTTAAATTTTGTTTTTTTTTTCCTCCTTTTTACTTTTAGAATATGAAATTAGCTTTTCATTGTGGAACAATTCACTCTTTAGAACATATAAGTAACATCTCAAGTCACTATAATGTTTTTCACGACATTTTAAATTTATCAAATTTGGCAGTAAATGCAACAGTTAGTTGTTTGGCTGGCTTAAGGAAAACTAAATGCCATGTTAATTGTCATTTGGAAAGGGTGGCTCATTTATCATTACTAAATCTAGCTGTCTTGTTAACCACCCACCAAGACAAAGATTACAGTGAATTTAATAATTGCTGAGTGGAATTTGGAATATCCTCTTTGGACCAAACCAAGGAGGCCCTTAATAGATGATTGATGTTGATGCAAAATGGATTTAGATTTGATCATCAGAATCTGTTTGGGTCTATCTATCCTGATTGCTTAAGTAGTTTTTTTAACGTTCAGAGCAGCTGCACGACCATGTTCATGTATACAGTTCCTAATTCTTGTTTTGAGCCTTGTCATCATCCATAGGTTGCCACTGCAATATAAATATCTAATGTTACTCATTTTGATTGATCCTCTGCTTAGTTTGTTATTGTTGTTGCTGTCTCATTCTAGTTGGTATTAGATCATGCAGAATGAGTGAAAAGATTCAAATCTTCAATGGTATCAGATCACATTCTGTAATCAATTACAATCAGTATTATACCTTGTTCAGTGAAGACCGCTATGCATTTCGGTTATCAAAACTTTATGGTTCCTGTATTAGGTTTATTTTGATCTTGGTGAGTTTTTGAAGGTCAAAAACCTCTCTGGTGAGTGGATCTCTGCTGTTCCTGTTCCCGGAACATTTGTTTGCAACATAGGTGACATGCTTAAGGTATAAACTTGGGGAAGAAGGCCCCTTGATGTTCGTTTCTGACTTTGTGCTGGTATTGCAAATCAATTTTTGGTCTGGACAACTGCAGATTTGGTCCAATGGCTTATATGACTCAACATTGCATCGCGTAATTAATAGTCGCCCAAGATATCGAGTCTGTGTAGCATACTTTTATGAGGTTACTTTCTTTACTGGAATCCCCTCTATGCATTTCATTTGTCGAATCCAGTTCTTTTCTGAACACTAAGTAATGTTTTGCAAACAGCCCAATTTCGATGTCCCCGTGGAGCCTTTAGATATCTGTGTGAGGAGAACTGGTGGAACCAAGAAGTTTGGAAGAGCATGCTATGGAGAGCATTTAGTTAGCAAAGTCCAAACAAATTTTGTGGTGTAAAATACAAAATCCCATCTCTTCCATTGTCAGTTTAAGCTTGACGTAATTGATGTATTTGCATTTGATTGCTTGATGTTGGAACCTGTGCTGTGGATACTGGATTTGTAAAATCATGGAATAATAGTTGCATGTTTTTCTTCCGGAGTCCTTAATAACAGGTTCGACTGCGGATGCTACATTTATCCCGTTTTTATTCTTTGGGCTATTGGATTTTCACTTACAGGATCTTGAATTTGTAAAGTGTATCATGCTTACTTAACCATGTGGCCACTGTACTACTGGACAAAGGGTCCTTCTAGACCAAGGTCCTCCCCATTTCTATCAACTCGTGTTGATAACAGAGAGGTTGTGTTTTTCTTTTGTTTGGTTATATTATCTTTTCATGTCTCTTGATAATCGAGTTGATAGATCTACGAAAGTTTACTCGACTCTATGCAAATTGACAAGTTCAACAACATTAAGTTACTATACTCAAATGATACTCGAATTCATGAGAAACTTACATGCTTGCGGTCATAATTCATGATGCCAATATAAAAAAACTAAGTACAGAAAGCTGTTATGCCCCATTATTTTTCTGGCGGAAGCCACATTACAATCGCTTAGCCCTATCTAATAATTTTACTTGCTATCGGTGTCTATTTAGTGCCGCATAAGAAGGTGATGGTGCTGGAGCAATCTCATGTGTCAATGACCCTTTGGAGGCATCTTCGGCAATAGACTGACTAATCTTGCAGGGTACATAAAGCATTGACCTCTCATTCGGGCACTTTACCTTCTTGGAGAAGAAGGCATTACATTCCTCCGGAGATCTCTGTGATGGAAGACCTAAAATGCAGTTCATCCTTACATCGAGCTTTTTCTTCTTGATCAACTTCCTGCATTCCGGCCCAACCTGTGTGAAGTAATTGTTGTTGAGTGTTAGTGCATTCAGCTGCGGCAGCAAGCACACCGTCTCAGGTACTGTCCCGAATAAATAGTTACTCGACAAGTTTAGCTGATACATCTGCTGCAGACAGCCAAAGGAATGTGGTATTGGACCAGTCAACTGATTGATACTGGCATCGAAAATAGTTGTTTTCTTCAAGAGTCCTATCTCATATGGAAGGCAACCCGATAACTGGTTATTCAGGAACAGCACCTCTAGCAACGTCTTTGAAGCTTGCCCGATGCTCCGAGGGATTGGGCCTGTGAACTTGTTGTTGGCTAGGGTGAGATAACTTACGGGTGTTCGACCGAGATTTTCCGGGATTGTTCCTGTGAAGAAGTTGTTGTTGAGAAAGAGAACTTCAAGGTCCAAAGTGAATACTTGCGGTGGTATTGGTCCGATCAGGGAGTTGAACCTGAGATCTAAGAAAGTGAGTTGGGTAGCAGCTAGAACGGACATTGGGAATGCTCCTTGTAGTTTGTTGTTGCTCAAGTCGAGCTCGTAGAAATACTTGAGCTTGGAAATATTGACTGGGATGCGACCGGTAACGTTGTTGGAGTTTGCATGAAAGAATACGATATCTGGTAGGTCCTCAATGAAGTTGTCGATAGTGAGCTGTCCCTTGTCATTGCAGAAGCCGAAGCCATTGAAGTCGGCGCCGGCGAGACCCAACATCTTGTAGCCAGGTACCATTGCACAGGAAAAGCCCGTGTAATTGCAGATTTTCTCGTCTTTGCCAACCCAGGTCGCAGTGACATTCTTAGGGTCGCACCTGCCTTTGCTTATGCGGTTCCTGAACCTCTGTATTGGTCTGTACACCATTTGCAGCCGGGTTTGCATCGGGGGCGGGGGTGGGGGCGGGGGAGGCGGAGGTGGAGGTGGAGGTGGAGGTGGAGGTGGTGGCGGTGGTGGGCATTCAGGTGGAGGTGGAGGTGGAGGTGGTGGCGGTGGTGGGCATTCAGGTGGAGGTGGAGGTGGTGGCGGTGGTGGGCATTCAGGCTCTGGAGGGGGAGGGGGAGGAGGGCAATCCCCATTCTCCGGGGCAGGAGCCGGTGGATAGCTGCCACCACCGCCGATTATTATTTCAAGTGCCTCTCGGCCTGTTTCTGCAGCCGGAATGCCGCCGGAAGCTTGGGCGAGGCAAGAATGGAAGATGACCAAGAGCAGAAGCAGCAGTGGGGATGAGGTGGGACATGGTTTTTTGGCCATAACTACCCTGCGAATGAACCAAGGGGACCTGAAGCAGATAATGCAGACTCTACTTATGAACTGCTAGACAGGGATGGTCCTCCCTCTGAAGAGGAGAACAGTTGATGACTGCCGCCGGGGTTACGGAAGCTATAAATAGAGAGGCTTCACAAATATGGACAAAAGTGTCGGCTAGAGCAACTTGTAAGTAATTATCTAATTTGCTGATCCAACAAGCACCAAATCGAATTCCGACTTCATTAGGAACTTGGGAGGATTAAGGACAAGGGTGGTGCCAAAGTTTTATATTGGTCCAATCATTTGAGGAACAAGGATTAGAAAATGTGGGTGTCTGTTATCATTTTAGGGGGCGCGGTGCGCTAATGATATTTGATTACAGCTATGTAAAATGATGAGAGTGGGGCTCTCCTAAGTGGAATCCCGTGAATGGAGAGCTAGACGTCAAAAGGAAAGCAGTGGCATGGTGGGTCTGGTCTTCTGCAGGGAATAAGATAGGCCTCAATAAGTGAACGTTGTTGACTTGGGTCGTTGAAAAGTCTTCGCAGCATTAATTGCGCGTGCTGGGTCTCCGTATATGAAAACCCTGCATGACCCCCCACTTTTTGCTCCCGGGTGAAAAGGAGAAATATGATCCGAATAGAAAGAGATGAGGAAATGCCTAAACCAGATTTCGACGGCGAATGGACCTTTCCAATCAGCTCCGATATACTGCACGTAATGCAGTTGGGGAGGCTTGCGACAAATTATGTTCTTATAATCCGACTCAAAAGGGTAATGTCGAGCGAGTTTTGATCCGTGTGCTTCTTGGGTCGCGAAACTTGTATCGTCTCACCTAGAATCTTGGTGATCGGAATTTGCTAGAAATAGGTTAAAGGAATGTCCTATGCGATCTATCGAGAGGAAGAATAACATAGATGTCGAGTCGGGTCATTACTTAGATCAAACCCCTACTCTACAACAAGATTGTCACAGTGGTAACTCACTGAGTGTGAGCTTTAGTTATTGTCCTCATTGAGTATTAGTTATACAATCCACATATCCTTCTATCTTTGAACACATAAATAGAAAACATCAAATTTACGTATTTGGTTGATGTGATTTACTCTATGGAAAGAGCAACGTAAGATTTCACTATAGATCAAACAATACAATTGAGATTATAACCCTACTCAAATCACTCAAATAATCTCAATGTTTTTCAACTCTCGATTACACCTGACAATCCAAGTTGTTTTTCTATCAAATGTCTCACGAAATAATCTTTTTCAATCTCACAAAAGAATACACAAACTTTACATTTTAGATTTAATGGGCTTCAAACACTAATCAAATCTTTTTAGGATGTAATTACACAAAACAGCTCTGCCTTGGATTACGCACCAAGCAAAATTGCTCATGGCCCCACCAATCCAAAACAACATAAAAAGTATTCCCTCCACGCGATTTGCCAATGTATTCATTCCGGCTAATTTTGGCCGGAAATCACTGACATGGACTCCGGTTAGCCTATATTGCGCTACCGGCTAAACGTGGATAATTTTTGTTTCTTTTTTAAAAAATTCTGATTTTTTCCGTTTTTTATTTTTTTATTTTTTTTCCTTTCTTTTTTTCCTTTTCTTTTCCTTTCACCCATGGCCAATACTCGACCATGGGCGGCGACTGGCCACAAGCTAGCCCTCGCCAAATTCAATGAGGGCAACCCTCACCTGTGGCTAGTTGTTGGTCATGGCTGAGTACCGGCCACAAGAGAAAGGGAAAGAAAAGGAAAAAAAAAGAAAAAAAGGAAAACATTTGGAAAATGCAAAAATTATTCATGTCAGTGCCGGTCACACCATGTAAGATGGTTGGCATCCCCGTTAGCGACTTCGAGTTAAAATTGACCGAAAAGACTAAATTAGCAAATCTCAAAAGGTTTAGGACTAAGTTGGCAAATCTTTAAAAGGTTTAAGGCTAAATTGACACAATTGAAAAGGTTTAGGACTAAATTGGCCAATCATTAGAAGATTTCAAATTAAATTGGCACAATTGAAGGATTTAGGACTAAATTGGCCCCCATACAATAGATTTAGGACTTTTTGGACAATTATCCCTACGGCATTTGATTTTGGACTTCCATGTGATTAGGCTTCCACACAATTCAATTTGAATCGAGTTTTGTTCACGGCCTCAAATTTGAGACAGAATTTTGACAAATCTCCACCTTAGCTCGACGTTTAGACCAAGTTACAATCATTTCGCCAGAACTTGAACTTCATTGCGACTGTCCCACCGTCTCTCATGGGCTCAATCGCTATAGACATCTTCCTAATCCAACCGGCAATTGAACTTTGCCATGATCGTGGACCTCATCAGAAAGCCAATTCCACCTGCATCTTTAGCCACTCAACAAGGATTCTCAAACATAATATCATCTATTACAGATAAAGCAAAACCAATGTTACATTCATACTTATAAGGAGATCGAACTCGCATATTGTGAAACTCAGCGATTACAATAACTACTGGCTCTATAGGCTGCACCTCGCTAACACAAGCACCATTTGTGTCAATTACTGCGCAAGTACCTGACATTTTAGGAGTTTCTGGTTGTATCACCACCTTAAGCTGAAGACCAATCTAGATTCGAATAAATATTACCACAATCACTCCTACTCAAAAGTATTTGAAACTTGTCAAATATAACTTCTCTGCTGATAACATGTGTATTTAATTCCGAGCACCACAATCGATAACCCCGTTCATCTTATGGATAGTCTAGAAATATACATTTTCTTGCGCTTCCATCAAACTTACTATTACCCATTCGAACATGAAACTAGCAATCAAACAAGAACATTTTCAATTTCTAGCAACATTGCATTCGAATCATTTCTTTATTAAGTAAATTTAACAAGTGTTTTGGAGCATTCGCTAATAAAAAAAAGACCCCTTATTTATTTATTTTTTCACTTTTGACGTGTCATTTCAGCAACCAGGCAAAAGACCAAGCAGCTGTCCATGTTTGTAGCATTTACGATGCGTACGGCAAATTCATGAATTTAAGGAAGCACTTATTTCATTACCACTTTGGATTCAGATAGTTGGGAAAAGAAAAAAGGAAAACTAATAAGTTACCCATGGACTAAATGTTTTGAGCATTCTTGCACCATCCGTAACGATCGACGATTGTGTAAAATTGGCGATGATGATCCTGAAATGTTGAGTGAGGCCATCTAACCAAAATCGTATCATTAATTGATGTAGTTATTTGTACTCCCAAGCCCCAAAAGTTCTGCTAAATCATGCTTAGAAAAATGGAGAAAAAAGGTGACTTTGTAAGTAGACTATAACTTTCCTTATAATGTACGCATTTATTGCGTAGACTTGGTCGCCTATACATGATCGGTTTGTAATTTCAGAGAAGAAAATATCCATAAATCATCCACAAATTACAAAAGTAAAAAGTTTCAACACTCAATGGAAAGAAAAGGTTAAAAGGCCATACAAAGATAAAGGTGCATGAATCCGAATGGCGTTCCCAACATCCCCGGGGAAATCAGGTCCCCCCCATTTGATAGGATCGTGAGTGATTGAGTCGTCCCAAGTTCCAAAAGCACTATCTTCTTTTGCCCTCTTATCGGGGGAAAATTTAGATTTATTTTCCAAATTTTAATTAAGGCAATAAACATAGTTTCGCCCGAAGAAGATGCCAAAGATGGACCGTCCTGACGATCGTAGTCTTCCTCTTTGGAGCCTTATATCTCGAGTCTTGGAGAGAATGACGGGAGCAACTCGCTGTCTAATCAGTCCTAAATTTATTATGTTGATGTCAATTTAGTCATAAATTTTTCGATTTTGTTAATTTAGTCATAAACCTTTACACAAAATTTATTATGTTAATGTAGTGCGTTCGGTCAATTTTTACCGAAAATCGCAGACGTAGTGGACTAGTCATCGCCGACCGTCCAACGTGGCACACCGCACCAGGTCAGCGATCTCCTGCGAAAATTAGTTGGAAGGACTACATTGAAATATTGTGCAAAGGTTTAAGACTAATTTAACAAATGAGAAATTTATGATAGAATTAGCATCCGCACAATAGATTTAGGATTGATTGGATAATTTCTCCCATCATTGGCAAAATATAGATCATCCACAAGACTTAGATTACTGGTGGGAGAATATTCATTAAGGCTATGGATTTAGCCCGTGCATCACTGTCCACTTGGCGAGCTGATCACCCATGCCTCATGACAATGCCAGTGGGGAGCTCAAAATTGATGAAACACCCAAGTCCAAGGCCCCTATTCGCAGATAGATTAATTAAGGTTTCGTGATACCAAGGATAAACTGGGAATCGCACCTATGACTTACTGCTTGCAAATCAAATCTTGGAGCACTCAACCCACCACCATGGTGGTGCTTGTGTACAATGATACTTGTTTATGTGTAAAACTAATCATAGACACATTCTTCTCTTACTCAGAGCTTTGTTAATTTGTTAGGTTATTTAACATGCTATCAAGCTTCCATCATCAATATGCGATAATGGGATTATTAATTCGATTGCGTATGATGATGTTTACTACGAGAAGACTAAGCTTATAGAAGTTCATTGCCGTTGATTTGAGTAAGGAAAACTGTAGTAACATCATCTTTGTTTCGAAACTTCAAATGTCTTCCTTCATGCCGCATTGAGTCTGATTATTAGTGTTATGATGATGTGATTCTCTACATTTTGTCATAATCACTAGAGAAGTATTTCTAATTTTGTTACATTTTGTTGTCTCGAATCTCAATTTTTTCTGTATAGATTATGCTTAGTCTAAGTTCCTTCCATAAAAAGGGTTTACAAGTGGACAGTTCCTCGTACGATCTTTTGATACTTTTTTAGTCTCATTATTTTTTACTAAGTAGCGATAGAGAAGCAAAATACCTACTACGCGTGTTGTTTTGATACGTTTAAACCACATATTTGTTCACTCAATTTTGCTTCTAACAATAATAAAAAGTAAGGTCTTGTCTAGACAGATTACATCTTATCTTAGAATCCCTCATGCAACAACAAAATAGGGGGAAAAGAACGCGGCAACCTCCCACTTGATATCTTTTACTACCAACCTGCACATGGAAGTGGGTCCAAGAAGGAGGAGCAGCAAAGAAAAGACACATCTTATTAGAAAGATGGAGATCGTGTTCTAAGACAAATTGCTCTGGACAAGAAATAACTT